AGCGATCGTTCGTCTTTTGTTGACTGTTCCGACGCGTGGACCACCCGGCCTTATAGATCCGATCATTGTGAATCCGATGGCGGTGGTTTCAATCGAAGACAACGTCGGAGGAGGGAGATCGGAGCCTCCAAAGGTTCGGTAGAATCTTCCTTCTTCACCGGTTATGAATCCAACCTCTTCTTGGGATTCCAAACACACCGATCAACTCGAACGGTCAAGAGAAGAATTTCTATGGTGGTTAGGACCTCCAATTCATCCTATATCGGCCAATGTTTTCGGGTTTACCAAAACGGGTTGAGCTCAATTAAACCATTTTTCGATGTCATTGGGTTAAGATATTTATATGAAAACACTCGGGGAGATCGACGATCGGTTCCGTGGTGGTTGATTTCGTGTTGGTGACTCGAAGTTGATAGAAATGAGAGGGTATTTATTCGGGTCGAGTCGTAGTGGTTTAATCTTCAATTTCTCTCTCCTCTGTGAGTTTTCTCTCTCTAACCGGTGTGGATTGACCGATCTAGTGATGGGATACACGTGGGTATGTTGATCGTGGTCAAAATCCGATCGAAAAATGATCAATTGAGGCTCAAAAGTTTCTAGCTGGGTAAACGGGTAATCGGGTATGGTTATTGGGTTAGGGCGTGTTTAGCTTCTTCTTTTTAGGTGTTCGGTATTTTTCTTTTTTTTTTTTTTTTTGCTGCGTTTTTTCTCCTTTTTTTCCTCCTCTACGAATTGGAATTCGAAAGCTTTTTATAGGCCGAAAACATCCTAAAATTTCTCCCAAAATCAATTCAAAAATCAAATTTTAATTATCAAATCTTGATTTTGAGATTTTTCTAGCTAAAAATAAGGAGATTCTAATTAAAAAAGATTTGAACAGATTTTTGAATGATTTTATAGATATTTTATATTTTTTCCTTTTTTTTTGTTTTATTATTCTTTTTCCTTTTTTGATTTTTTTTCTTTAAAGGAAAAATTGGGTTATGACACTCATCATAAAAGTTCAAAATACTTATTCACTCGACGAAGAGTTAAACATGAGACGAGAGGAGATGGTTAGAGGTATTAGATGATTATGATCGTGTACTACATTATCATCCAGGGAAGGCAACCGTAATAGCGAGATGCCTTAAGAAGAAAAACAAGGAAAACAATAGAAATGGTACAAATATGTGTCTTGAGGGATCCGGAGGAGCTAAATCTAAAGGTGGTGCTAAAAGGAGATGAGTGTAGGCTATAAGTTTATTAATGGAGTCGGATTTGAGGTCTAAATCAAAAGTGCATAGTTAGCTAATGATGAGGTGCTTAGAATGAAAAATAAATAAATGAGAGAAAAAGACTACATTTTATAATAAACAATGATGCGCTATTGAGGTATCGAGGTAGGTTATATGTGCTTAGAGGATAAGGATTTGAGAGAAGCAATTCGAGCGCGGCATATTCTACTTCTTATTCAATGCATCCTGGTGGTACCAAGATGTATCGAGATTTAAAACTAGTGTATTGGTGGAGAGGAATTTAGAAGGATATAGCAAAATCATGTAGTTAGATGTTTAACTTGTCAACAAGTAAAGGTTGAGCATCAAAGACAATCGGGTTTCTTAGAACCTTTGGCAATACCTAAATGCAAGTGGGAGCACCTAACTATGGATTTTCTCATGGAATTACCAAGGTCAGCAAAGGGATTTAATGCCATCTAGATTATTCTAGATAGATTAACGAAGTTAGCTAATTTTTTACAAGTGAAAACAACTTTCAACATGACCCATTATGCAAAATTATATATGAGGGAGATAATAAGGTTACATAGAGTACCCATATCGATTGTATCCGATAGAGATCCAAGATTCACATCAAATTTTTGGAAGGCTTTGCAGGAGGTAATGGGTACTAGGCTAACTTTTAGTATCGCTTTTTAGCCCCAAAGTGTTGGACGATCAAAGAGAGTATACGAGTACATAAAGACATGTTAAGGGCTTATGTACTTGACTAGTTAGGTAAATGGAAAAAATATCTACCATTGGTAGAATTTGCTTATAATAATAGTTACTAGGCAAGTATAGGAATGTCGCCTTATAAGATACTATATAGGAAGGACGTGTAGATCACCACATTGAGATGAGGTAGGTGAGAGGAAATTGTTAGGATCGGAGATAGTTCGACAAACAACCGAGGTGATAGAGAAGATAAGGCTAAGAATGAATACAACTCGGAGTAGGAAAAAAAGTTATGTTAATTAGAGGAGAGAACATTTAGAGTTTGAAGTAGGTGACAAGGTTTTTCTTAAAGTGGTGCCAATAAAGGGTGTGATGCGATTTGGGAAGATGGAAAAATTGAGTCCTACATACATCGGACCTTATGAGATTCTTGATAGGTGGGTAATCGAGCATATAGATTAGGTCTCCCTCTATCTCCGTCGAGAGTCCATAATGTCTTACATATATCAATGTTAATACAATATGTGATTGGCCCAAATCATATATTAACGAGTAGAACCGATTGAGTTAACTTCAAGATAAAGAGAGACCAAGTATAGATATTAGATTGAAAAGTAAAGAAGTTGAGAAAAAGGGAAATGGTATTAGTGAATGTGTTGTGGAGAAATCATGAGATTGTAGAGGCCACATGGGAACAAGAAGAAGAGATAAAGATAAGATATCCCGAATTGTACGATATGAAAATTTTGAGGATGAAATTTTTTATAAAGAGGGAGGGTTATAATACCCAAAACTTTTGTATGACAATATATTGTGCGTATAAATGTGCAAATATGGTTTATTTGTGCATGTAATTTTTTTTTATGTGTTTAGATGATGTTATGAGTAGGTAAAAGTTTTGGGATATAGTAAATATATTTTTGGATATTATGGATAGTATTTTTATAGAAAGGAATTAATCCTATAATCTTAGCCTAAGTTATGAGGAATTAAAGGATTAAAATAGTAATAATAATTAATAAAATAATAATAAGTTTTACTAGGTTTTAAAGGGAATGTTAATGGCTATGAAAGAAGAGCAAAAGTTTTGAAACATATATTAAAATTAAAAAGGAGACATGAAGTCGTATCAAAAAGAAGAAAGTGGCCGTAAAAGAAAAAAGTTAGTGGCCATGAAAGAAAATGGGCATAAAAGAAGAATGTTAGTGATCATGAAAGAAAAGAAAGTGGTTATAAAAAAAGCCACTTGGTGGCCATAAAAGAAGAAAGTTAGTGGTCTTTTACTAATTTTTATTCATTCACTTAAAATTTTCAAATGTTTCAACTTCCCATGCCTATATATTAGGTGTCATTCTCCTCATTTAGGAAAGTCATTTTATAAGCTTATATTTCAAGAGAGAGAGAGAGAATATAATTGAGTACGAAGTAAAGTCAAAGGTATTTGGAAGAAGATTCAAGTCTTGGTCATTCAATATTCAAGGTAAGAAAAATATCTAATTTAATTATTTGTTTCTATATAATCTTAGGTAGAATTGAGTTTGAAATTTCATGATTTAGGATTGATTATGTAAAAATATTTATTTTAGTATTAAAATCTTAAATTTTTATTACAATATTTGGTTATTAAGTGTATTTAAATAAGTATTGAAAAGATTAAGTTAAAATTTGATAACATTAGATTATATGAATATAATTAGAAGAGAATAGAATAAATTAGAGTAGAGTTAATGATTTAATTAGTATTTTTAATTTAAAAAACATTACAAGAAAAGAATAAGAATTAAGAAAAATTAATTGATTAGAGATAAAATAATAATATTTAATTTATTATGTTATATGGTGTGTATGTTCAAGGTTTGAATCATATCAAGATACTAATTTTTAGAGAAAGGTTAAGATAAACGAGTGGTCTTAAGGGAATCAAGTATAACTCACCTACACCATTGGACGTAAATGCTATGTATTTTTATATGATTGATATGATGTGATGGTCTTGAGGTGAATTCATATGCATGCATATGTTTTACATATTGATTGAAAGAAAATATTTTAAGTAAACGAATGAGGTTTTTTTTAATGCATATTGAGGTTTAAAGGTTAAGGTAGCCTATCGAGGCATGAATGTTAATGTTTAAAGGTTGAGGTTTAATTGTTAAATGACGAGATTAAAATTTTTATGCATGTTTTTATTAAGGCTAAACCTTGCTAACCGATGTTAGTATCTTCTAACGAGCCCAAATGAGAAAAAGAATATTAAAGACATTCAAGTACAAAATTTTTTAATATAAAATCATGCATGTTATATTTATTAGGATATTCATATCTCACGTTCATTTTATGGTGTAGGTAATGACGTAAATATTGAGGATGTTGATGCTACTTTTGGTAACTAGTGACTCATGTGCCTTCCTTTGCATGTTCCTAACAATTACATTATGCTTTAAATGAATATTTATTTTTAAAATAATAAGTGTAATGATGTTAAAATTATAAATGCTGAAAAAATTTTACTTAGAATTTGAGTATGAATATTAGGACAAGATTATTTAGGAATGTTAATTATGATAAGATATGTTTTATAAATTATGATATTTTAGTATAACGTTTCCTCTATGTTAATGAGAAAATCTTATGATTATATATTATTAATGACATATTTAAAGATTGGATTAAGTTCCTAGAGGTCATTTTTGAACATTTTGGGATAGGAGACTTTGACCGAGTGAAGGGAGGCGTGTTTATACCGGCTCAAGATGTAACAGCTTGGTTGAATGTGGTTAAGGTTCCTTTGGACGTAGCTAACCTAACTCGGGCACATTTCAATGAGATCTTCTTTATTAAGCATTTCATCGCGAATGTAAGATCTAAGAAGGTATAAGAGTTTTTTTTATTTAAGCTAAAGAAATATGACTATGATAAAGTACATCGATCTGTTTGAGCATAAGAGTCGATTTATCCCATTCATTACTAAAGAACCCGAGTCGAAGAGGTACCAATTCCAACAAGGACTCACTCGCCTCAAGAGCTTAATACGAATGTCTTATGCTCGTCACTTATAATAACATGGTTAGTCGGGCATTGATAGTCGAAGAGGACCAAAAAGAGATTGTGCGAGAACTTCGGGCGAAGAGGTCGAGGTCGAACTTTTCGATAAAGGTCGGGAGTTCATCGTGGATTAAAAATGTTAAGGGAGATGATGTTACACCAAAAAGAAATGAAGCTAACAAAGTTGCACGTGTCAAGTATGAAAGGATACACCCCGAAAACTGTTTGGTGTGTACTAACACTTGCTACTCGGTGTAAGGAGCTAGGACATATGGCCAGTCAATTTCTTAAAAGAACTCGAAGGTGATTAGAGGGTAGTAGCTCGAGTCTATACTCTAACTCAAGAACAGAGCCAAACAAAATGATGTAACAATAATTTGTGATAACTTCCTAATCTCTCGGACCCGTTGTATATACTTTGATATATTTAGGAGCAACACACTCATTTACATCAAGGTCTTTAGTAAGAAGATTGAGTATGAAGTCCGAAATATTAAAATCTATTTCTAAAACAATGTTACCATGATGAGATATAATGGAGTCTAGGGATTTGTTGAGGGGATGTGAGCTTATGATGAGAGATAGGTCAATAAAAAAGAACTTAATAGTGTTTAGTATTAAGGATTTTGATATAATACTAGGCATGAATTATTTGTCAAAGTATGGAGCTAGAATTGACTATAGAGCGAAGGTGGTAACATTCTAACCACCTAGCGAAGAGCTCTTAGAGCTTAAAGCAAGTGAGAATGTGAGGTCGGTATCAATGGTCTCGGTTATAAAAGCATAAAGAATGGTAGAAAATGAAAGCATAGGATGTCTAGCCAATATAGTAGATACTACTAAGGAGATAAAAGAAAAAGTAGAGGATATCAAGATAGTAAGAGAGTTTGTGGATGCATTTTCAAATGGATTAAATGTATACCACTAGTGTGGGAGATTAATTTTTAGATAGAGCTAGAGCTATGAACTACTTCAATTTTTAAGGCTCTTTATAGGATTACACCAATAAAATTGAAAGAGCTAAAGGAGTAAATACAAGAGTTACTAGATAAGGGATATATAAGGCCAAGTTGTTTAGCGTTGGATGCATCGGTGTTGTTTATAAAGAAGAAAAATGGGACATTAAGGTTGTGCATAGATTATTGGGGTTTGAATCGAGTAACAATTAAGGAAAGGTACCCACTCCCTCATATTGATGACTTGTTTGATCGAGTTACAAAGGACATCGATTTTCTCTAAGATCTATTTATAGTCGAGGTACCATCGATTGGGAATTAAGGAAAGAGATATGAAGAAGACCGTTTTCTAAACTAGGTACATTCACTATGAATTTCTAGTGATGCCTTTTGGACTCCAAATGCTTCTATAGCTTTTATGGACCTTATGAATTGAGTGTTCCATAAACACCTCATCTTTATTTATGATATTCTAATCTGTTCTAAAAGAAGGGAAGAACATACGGAGCACTTCGAAGATCATACTACAAACATTGAGGGAGCACTAGTTGTATGCAAAGTTCAAGTAGTGTGCAATTGGCTCAATCATTTAGCTTTTTTAGGTCATTTGGTGTCGAAGGATAGGATAAGAGTAGATCCAAGTATGGTTGAGGTGGTTCAGAATGGGAGACAACCTAAAACCGTGTCGGACGTACGGAGTTTTTAGGAATGATCGGATACTATCGGAGGTGTTTAGAGGGATTTTTGAAGTTGGCTACTCCATTGATGAAGCTAATTAAGAAAAATGTTAGATTTTAGTGAGAAGATGAATGCGATATTATTTTTTAAGAGTTGAAGCAAAGGTTGATTACCGCACTCATGTTAACTCTTCCAACTAACGAGGGTAACTTTATGGTGTACACGAAGCTTTTAAGATAGGATGGGGGCAATATTAATATAAGAGGGAAAACTTATAGCTTATACCTCAAAAAATTTGAAAGATTATGAAAAGAATTACCCACGTATGATTTAGAATATGCACTAATGGTGTTTGCGCTTAAAATTTGGAGGCATTATTTGTATGAAGTGAGGTTTGAGATTTATACTGATCATAAAAATCTAAATTATTATTCACTCAAAAAGAGTTAAACATGAGACGAGAGGAGATAGTTAGAGGTGTTAGATCATTATGATCGTGTACTACATTATCATCCCGGGAAGGCAAATGTAGTGATGCATTCCTTAAACAAAAAAACATAGGCAACAATAGAAGTAGTATCGATAAGTATTTTGAGGGATCTAAAGGAGTTAAATCTAGAGGTGATGTTGAATGGAGGCGATAGGCTATCAATTTTAGTAATAGAGTCGGATTTAAAGTCTAAATCAAAAAATGGACATCTAACCGATGATGAGGTGATTAGGATAAAGAAAGAAATAGATGAGGAAAAAAGATAATATTTTATAATAGATGATGATATGGTGATGAGGTATCAAAGTAGGTTATGTGTGCCAAAGGATAAGGATTTGAGAGAAGCAACTCCGAGTGAGGCACATTCTACTCCTTATTTAGTGCATTCTAGTGGTATCAAGATGTATCAAGATTTAAAACCGAGTGTATGGATGGAGAGGAATGAAGAAGGATGTAGTAAATCATGTAGCTAGATGTTTGACCTATCAACAAGTAAAGGTTGAGCATCGGAGACCATCCGGTTTCTTACAATTTTTGGCAATATCCGAATGGAAGTGGAAGCACCTAACTATGGATTTAGTCGTGGGATTAGCGAGGTTAAAAAAAGGATTTAATGCCATCCGGGTTATTGTAGATAGATTAACAAAGTCAACTCTTTTCTACCGATGAAAACAACTTTCAACATGACCCAATATGGAGAATTATATATGAGGGAGATAATAAGGTTACATGGAGTACCCATATCAATTGTACGTGCTAGAGATCCAAGGTTCACATCAAATTTTTAAAGGGTTTGCATGAGATAATGGGTACTAAACTGAATTTTAGTACTGCTTTTCACCCCCATAGTGATGGACGATCGAAAGAGTGATAGAGGTACTAGAAGACATGCAAAGGGCTTATGTACTTGATCGGTCGGTTAATGGGAAAAATATCTATTATTGGTAGAATTTTCTTATAATAATAGTTACCAGTGCAAGTATAAAAATGCCACCTTATGAGGCACTCGTATAGGACGAGGTGTAGATCACCGATTCATTAGGATGAGATAGGTGAGAGAAAATTATTAGGACCGGAGATAATTCAACAAACAGTCGAGGTGGTAGAGAAGATAAGGCTAAGAATCAAAACAGACTCATAGTAGGCAAAAAAGTTATGTTGATCGGAGGAGCAAAGATTTAGAGTTTGAAGTAGGTGACAAAGTGTTTCTTAAGGTAGCGTCGATGAAGGGTGTGATGTGGTTTTGGAATAAGGGCAAATTGAGTTCTAGATAAATCGGACCTTATGAGATTCTTGATAGGTAGGTAATCGAGCATATAGATTGGCTCTCCCTCCATCTCGGTCAAGAGTCCATAACATGTTCCATATATTGATATTAAAAAAATATGTGATTGACCCAAATCATATATTAACGATAGAACCAATGGAGTTAACTTCGCATTTGACATATGAAGAGAGACCAAGTACATATATTAGATCGAGAGGTAAAGAAGTTGAGAAAAAGAGAAGTGGTATTAGTGAATGTGTTGTGGAGAAATCACAAGATTGAAGAGGCCACATGGGAACAAGAAGAAGAGATAAAGGTAAGATAACCCGAATTATACCGTACGTAAATTTCGAGGATAAAAATTTTATAAATAAGAAGGGTTGTAATACCCAAAAATTTTGTATGATAACATATTGTGTGTGTATGTATGCAAATGTGCTTTATTTTTTTATATAATTTAACATTTTTTTATGTGTTTAGATGATATGATGATTAGGTATAGAGTTCTAGGATATAATAAATATATTTTTGGGAATTATAGATAGTATTTTTATAGATAGGAACTAATCCTACAATCTTAGCCTAAGTTATTAAGAATTAAAGGATTAAAATAGTAATAATAATTAAATATTAATAAGTTTTACTAGATTTTAAAAGGAATGTTAGTGGCTATGAAAGAAGAGCAAAAGTTTTAAAACATATATTAAAATTAAAAAGGAGGCATGAATGCCCATGAACAAAAAGAAAGTGACCATAAAAGAAAAAGGTTAGTGGTCAAGAAAGAAAAGAAAGTGGTCATAAAAGAAAGCCATTTAGTGGCCATAAAAGAAGAAAGTTAGTGGCCTTTTATTATTTTTAATTCATGTACTTAAAATTTCTAAATGTTTCAACTTCTCATGCTTATATATTGGGTGTTATGGTCCTCATTTAGGAAAGTCATTCCATAAGCTTATATTTCATATATATATATAGAGAGAGAGAGAGAGAGAGAGAGAGAGAGAGGGAGGGAGGGAGGGAGGGAGTGAAAGGGGAGAAAGAATATAATTGAGTAAGAAGTGAAGTCAATTGTATTGATTTAGGATTGATTATGTAAAAATTATATTTTAGTATTAAAATCTTAAATTTTATTACAATATTTGGTGATTAAGTGTATTTAAATAAGAATCGAAAATGTTAAGCTAAAAGTTGATAACATCGGATTATATGAATATAATTAGAAGAGAATTAAATAAATTATAATAAAGTTGATGATTTAATTAGGATTTTTAATTTAAAAGAAATTACAAGACAAGAATAGGAATTAATAAAAATTTAATAATTGGAGATAAAATAATAATAGTTAATTTCTTATGTTATATAGTGTGTATGTTCAAGGTTTAAATCAAGTCGAGGTATCGATTTTTAGAGAAAGGTTACGATAAATAGTAGTCTTAAGAGAATCAAGTAAGTGTAACTCACCTACACCATGGACGTAAATGCTATGTGTTTTTATGTTATTGATGTAATGTGATGGTCTTGAGGTGGATTCATATGCATGCATATGTTTTACATGTTAATTGAAAGAAAATTTTTTAAGTAAATGAATGAGACTTTTTTTTTTTTTTTTGTAATGCATATTGAGGTTTAAAGGTTGAGGTTGCCTATCGAGGCATAAATGTTAAGATTTAAAGGTCGAGGTTTGATTATTAAATGATGAGGTTAACATTTTTATGCTTGTTTTTTATTGAGGCTCGACCCTACTAATCGGTGTTAGTATCTTCTAGTGTGCCTAAATGAGGAAAAGAATTTTTAAGATATTCATGTACAAAAAGTTTTAATGTAAAATCATACATGTTAC